ACATGTTTGTTTGAAACTTAAAAGGAAGAGTCTTTCATCTAAGAAAGTGGCTGATCTCTCAATTAGGGTATTAAAAGCAATTTGGGCATGGTGAATGGTTTTGCAGCACGCTATGAAATGACTGGAGACAGATTCAAAACAGAACCACACTGGAAACCTGGGTCTTACCACAAGAAATCAAAGGAATTGATCAGGGTAGACTGTGTGGCTTAGTTGTATCCACATTCTATATCTCTCCCCCACAAATCAATTACCTTTACTTTTAACCACTCTGAAGATCTACTAGTGGGAACTGGCACTGTGAGAAAAGCATAGACCAGGTCTAGTCCAGTTGGCTTTGGTCAGCCTCAGTAAATTCCCTTCTTCTCTATGTGGTTTCCCCCACAAAATTCTGTAAAGGTTTGTCCTGTCCAGAGGATGCACAGTTAGATGTGTATCCCTCCATAAAAACTGTAATGCTTTACCCACAATGTGCCCAAAGGATATAGATAGTTTTTTAAAGAACTCTCACCACTAATGTACTAGGGTAAGGGAAATGACAGAGCTGCGCGCAATAGCCACTATGACTTGGACTACAGCTGTACTGGTTTGGGAATCAGTGGGAGATTTCAGAAAATTGTCAGTGCCTACAAAACCTGTGTCAGTGCAAATCTTTGAGGGAGAACATTCTGCCTCTACCATTCTCCCAGCCACCGAAGACCCAAGAGTGAACTCCTATCCCAGCTCCTGGCTCTTTTTTTTTTTCTCCCCCAAAAAAAGTTGCCACATGCCAGCTGCTACCAGGGGGGTGGTAGGGATCTCCACTGCCCCCCCACTGCTCCATTCCATGTGGAAGGTTCTGTCACGAGTCCCCTGACCCCTGCCCTCTCTTCTAGCCCCCCCATGGCTGCCCCACCCACCCCAGCTCCCAGCCCTTAAGCTAAAAAAGGGCAGCTGGACTGCCCTTCTAGGCAATGCATATGGCGCTAGCTCCTTCTGGCTGCAGCTGCCATGGACCCCAACCCTGTAGTACTGGCAGGGACTGGCAAGGCCCTGTACACACAGCCCTGCCCCAGCCCGCCTTACACCTGCTCTGGACTTGCCTGCCCAAGCTGAGCTGTGGCAGCAGTTGGACAGAAGCTGCTGCTCAGTGTGGGGGAAAAAGTAGCCTCTCCCCTTCGCTGATGCTGGCCCCTTCTTGCTGCAGCTGCCTAGAGCCTGTGCCCAGGCTGCTCTACAGCTCCTCTGCACTGCTACCACCGCCCTGCTGATGGTGGCAGAGAGGAGTGGAAGGGCAGATTGGGCGCAGACTCTGGCCAGCTGTAGCATGAAGGGGGTGCTTTTCCCCCAGGCCCAGCAGCAGCTTCATCCCGTCTGCTGCCGCTGCTCAGCGTCGGCAGGTGGTTCGGAGCAAGCACGGGGCGGGCCAGGTTGGGGCTGTGCATGCAGGTTTTGGCTGGTCCGGAGCTGGTCCACTTTGCCGGGCTGAATCCAGACCAGGCATGGGGCAGGCTGGGGTCGGGGCTGTGAGCATGGGTTCCCCCCAGTACCACAGGGCTGGGGCCGGCGGCAGTGGTAGCCAGAAGCAGCCACCATCGCCACCTAGGCTGCCTAGAAAGGTGGGGTGGGCTGGAGTTGGGGTGGGGCTGCGTGCTGTTGGTGGTAGTGCATGGGCTCCCGCTGTTGCAGGGAAGGGAGAGGGAGTGGGTTCAGACTAGCACCAGGCAGCTCCCCAGAACTGTCTATGTGGACCCAAATTGCCTGTCCCTGTTCTAGTAGATGCACCCAATCTTGATTTAGACTGAAGGGGTGGGCTGTCTAATACAGAATGAAAACAAAGACCAAATACCACATTAAGCTGCTAATATACAAGAATTAAAATGATAAGGCTCTAACCTATAGCGCTTCATTGTCCCCGACTACGGAACAGCAGTCATTCAGATCTGTATTTTATCTTTAAAGAAAAATATGCCCACAAGTAACATCTATGCAGTCAGGAAGGCATTCATCACCACAATCATCAGGACAAACAAATGCAAAAGACATCTTATGCCCACACACCAGGCCTGTCAGCATACAGTTACTTTAAACAAGCCACATGCTTTAAATGTAGTTTATGTATTTCGAATTCCACTGTTAAGAAGGGAGACAAATTCTGACTGAACATGCACAGAGCTGAGAAAATATCTACCTTTTAAAGAAGAGAAACGAACTTGGGGTGGCAACCCCAGAGAATCCCAAGGTCATAGCAAGAAGCCTGAGAGAGGCTGCAGTCTCTGCAGAAAGTGACACAAAGAGCAGATAGGAGCCTGTGCTGATACCAGGCCACCATCAGATGACCAGGGCACGGTTGCTTGTAGTAAGAGCATCCAGACTACACTACTTCAAAACAGTTCAATACTTAAAAGGAAAAACAAAAAAAAACTAAAAGCTGTCTACATCTCTGACACTGGAGAGTTATTTCTGGTAAGACCAAAATCTACTTCTCGGAATAGAAGATAACAAAACCAGTCTTACCCAAAGTTTGCCTTTCATTCTCAATGTCATTACTTAGGTTATCCTCAGAGATGTTATCACTTATATCACTGACGTACGAGTCATCATCTGATACCTGGAGAGGGTAGAGAACAAACAATTTGTATCATATTTATTATGTTAACCCTATATGTGCATAAAAGTTCATAATATGATACTCCTGCAATGATATTATTTCAGAAATCAGTAGTTTTAGTTAAAGCTATCATTAAAACAGATTTGTACTGTTTGCATGGTGTTCCAATAGAAGCAAAAGGTAGACCTGAGAGAGAGCAATGAAGTGTTCTTGAAAGGTCATTACTGAAAAAATTTCATAAGCAACAAAGCAAATCTCATCTTCTTTGATCCTACTAAAGCTTTAGGGAGGTGTTTTCTTAAAATATCAGAACTTCAAACCTTTCATAAAATTCTCAAAAGCTCTTAAAACAAACAAAAAAACTTGTAAATTGTAGCATACAACCTGGATCAATAATACAAGCAAGCTAAGAAATATTTAATGTCTCTGACAAAATTCCTTGAAAAACTTGTAGGACAAATCAGGGCAGATGTTACAATGTACATGACTTACAATTTCAATTTTTAAACCAGGTAACAATTACTTGGAAGTTACATCGATAACTGCCTCCCTCCAGCTTTACCTATAGCATGCTTAATCTACTGTAAAGAGAACAAGCAAGTAAGTGTATCTCACTTTCAAATCCTTCAAAATATTGCAGCTGTCATAGATCAGTAAATGTGCAAATAGCAAACAGGAGTGTAAAAGGTAAAGTACTCTGAAAACAGCTAGAGTGATTTTCTGACATTGGTGCTCAAACCTCATTTTCTGAAGAGCTAGCTGACAGCAAGACTTCCTGTGCATCAAAGAACTCTGTGAGAGAGTCGGTGATAGACAGTCTACTTTCATTGGAGACCTGGTGAACTAGGCCTCTGCTTTCTTCTCCTGAATTTTCCTGTTCAAAAGAAACACAGGCTTTGAGAGGGGGGAAGAAAAGTAAACTGCATATGTATGGGCAAACCAGCAAATACATAATTCAGAGGGCTTTAAAACACTGTCGATGAGTGCATGTACCTTGCACCACTTATTTTAAACAGCATACATTTCAAAGAGGGGATTAGCAGCAAAGTACAAAAAAACCAGACAAAACCCCAAAGGACCGAAAGTGAAACTTAGTAATGCTGTTTTGCAGATTAGTTACCACCCTCACATATGCACTTTTATTCTAAACATAGCTATGAAAGTGTTGCAACAGTCATAGGTTTTCATAGACATTAGGGCTGGAAGGGACCTCAGAAGATCATCGAGTCCAGCCCCCTCCCCAAAGGGCAGGAAGTCAGCTGGGGTCATAGGATCCCAGCAAGATAAGCATCCAGTTTGCTCTTGACGGTGCTCAATGTGGGCGCTTGAACCACCTCCAGTGGCAGGCTGTTCCAGACCTTGGGGGCTCGGACAGTAAAGAAATTCTTCCTCATGTCCAGCCTGAAACCGTCTTGTAGTAGTTTATGACCGTTCGACCTAGTCATCATTCCTTGGGGCACTCTGGTGAACAAACGTTCCCCCAGATACTGGTGGTCACCCCTGATAAACTTGTAGGTGGCCATCAGATCACCCCTGAGCCTGCGCTTTTCCAGGCTAAAGAGCCCCAGGGCTCTCAGCCTGTCATAGAGGGTCTGCTTCCCTGACCTCTGATCATACGCATGGCTCTTCTCTGGACACTCTCAAGTTTCTCCACATCCTTTTTGAATTGTGGAGCCCAAAACTGGACGCAGTACTCCAGGAATGATCCTTTAGCTAGGTGTATGTTAGTGGATCACCATGAAAAGAAGAGCAGCCATTAGAAAACCTCAAACCACCACTCTCTATGGTAGGTACTAAAGCCAAAAGATCCTCTCCTAATCTCAGTAAGTTAGTCACTTAGAGGTGGCAGGGGGAGGGCACTTTAATCAGAGCGGCTCTTGAGAGCCGCTCTAATTAAAGCATCCACAGCTTCTTACGTATTCAACATCCCATGGTTCAAAATGGTGGTGAGGTGCTTTAACTAAATCTCGTTTGATGAGCTTTAAAGTGCTCCCGCCGCCATTTTGAAGCATGGGGACACCGAATACATGAGATGCTGTGGCTGCTGGCATGTGCTACTAGCAAGCTCCAGCAGACTTAATTAATCAAGTCTGCTCCGACATGTGCACGTGGATAGGTGGCTTATATCCTGAAAGCCTTCTTTGCTGCAAATTTCAGAGGAGTTGACAAGTATTCCAAATAAAAGTATTCTTGCTTTCCTACTTCTGCTGTTAGGCTACTTACCCAG